ACATGAATGGGAGTCTATGGGAGGAATGAGGGATGAAAAATCGACACACAGAGGAGTGCAGGTCAGTACAGCTGTGGATTAGAGCTTGGGGACCTGCCTTGAGTGAGCAAACATTCTGGTGGCTGTCAGGCAAAGGAAGGTATACGACTTATTTGTGGGCAAAACTGAATGGACGTAAAAGGAAGAAACAAGAGATGAGAAAAAAATAACAAATAGAGTCAGAACAACATTGAATTTGTGCTCAGGGGGCAGCCCTGAGATAGTGTATGTGAACGGTGTCTTTCAGTCGAGCAGAAGGACAGTAGCTGGACGTGCAGTTGTTCACCCCATTCATTCCTATGACGTAATTTAATGAAGATTGTAAGAAAACCAGTCAAAAAGTTGTACATAAGCACACCATTCCTGATCAGACTGAACATTGCAGAGTTAGACCGGTTGTGATGCCCTTAAGGCATTTAGTTAATCTTTTCATTTTTCCTTTTTCTTTCTTGTATTTAAAGATTTGTTGTTGCTTATTTTTGTCTTAAGTAAGAAAAAAGGGACCTTCATAATTAATCTTTAGTTTAATAAGCTTATTTGTAAAATTAATTTCTGGGAGCATTATGCGATGACATCACTTCCGGTTTTTACTTCCGGGGTTTTCCGGGGGTTCTGCAGCAAAACAAAATGAGGCAGACATGAGTTCATGTTCTGAAAGTCTCTTTGCATCAGTGTGAAGCATCAAAGAGGCAAAGTATAAGTTCATCTAGCGTTAAACACATTACAGTTCATATATTAGCAATGGTGATGTTAAAAACCATGTTTGTTAAGTTGGTTAAGAAAACAGAGAAACTGTTTGTTTACAGTTGTGTATAAGCTAACAGATATATTAGCAGCCATGGTAACTTCTACCTACAGTTCAGAACAGGAATGTATATGTCAATGTTTACAGCTATGCACAGTGTATAATTAAGAACTTAGACGCTGAACAAGTTTTGTATTGTTTATTTACAGTTTTCACCTGCATGCTAATGAGAAAGAGTGACAGTAAATGGTCAACCTTACTCTAACTCTGTCTTCATTGGATATGGTTTAGCTTGGTGTTTAGTCAGAGTTTCGACACACTGCACGAGAACACTACACCGGTTTCCATATTCTGAAAACTGCAGGACAAGTTAGATGAAAAATATCTGGTAGAGAAATAAGAAAAAAAAAGAATAATAATAAGTAGAAAAATATAAATGGAATAACAATAGTGTTGCGCATTATTATATCACTACTACTACTACTAATAATAAGAATAATAACACATTTTATAAATAATAATAAAAAATAATAAATTTCATAAATAATACTAAATATATTAATCAAATAAATGAATGCTAATATTTGTCTGAAATCTATAAAATGAAATAGTAAAATGCTAAATTTCTTTAAAATATTTCCATTTTTAATGAAAACCAAATTATTTTTGTCAAATGTCATTAATTTAAATGTCATTAACAGTAACTTTTTAAAATTATATTTCATTGCAGCATATTTATTTTAAAGTAGTAAATGTAAATAACTGTGTTCTCCAGCCTGTAGATCTGTTGATGGTGCTGAACATTCTCTACATCTGTAAGATCACAGAGATACTACAGCTTTACAGTTTGATCATTTCAGGGTAAAAACCTCCAGCCTGACAGACACATCTTACAGAGTTTACCTTCTTACAGAACGACTGAACTGAGCTGAATATTAACTGGCTTCACTGTTAAAAGTGGAACACAGCAGAAGTTGATCTGAACTGTTTTCCAGCTTTGAATTATACATATTAATTTTGGTCATTTGAAGTTTTATTTACTTTGAAATGTTTTGTTCATTGTATTTATTTGAGTTACATATTTAGCATATTTAAACTAATTTCATGTTAATAAATTGTGAAAAAATTTTATATATTCTTCTTTCATTGAATATGAACTTTGCGTCATGTTTCCAAATGACTTTTATAAAATCTAGGTTTTGTGTAGATTTTCTATCAAATCTATGCGTTATTTATAATGTTTATAGCGTTTTAAATCCATCATTTTATCAAAATGGACTAATTCATTACCTTCAAACTTTTACTTGAATAAAAGCAGCTTTGATTCATATGAAACCTGATAGATTAATATGGCTATGATTCTGAAAAAGATGTTTTTAATTATACACACACAATAAAAATAAACAATAAAACAGTAAAGAGTGAAAATATTACAGATTAATCTTTACGAAACTCCAGAAAGTCTCCATCCTTTATAAGGAGTAACATGTTCTGTTTCCTGTAGTTATGAATATACTGTGTTCAGATCTTCTTATAGTGAGTTCAGTATATTAACAGTAGAGGAAGGTGAGTGAAGTGCAGCGAAACTCCAGAGAAACTCAATTAAATGCTACTTTTATATCTTTAGTTGAAGATGTTTAACTTATTTAGGTTATATCCATTCTAATAATTTTGTGGAGTTAATTTTGCGCCAGAAATGTGAAATATAGTAATGAAATGTTAAATATTAATAGGGTTACAAAAGTTACAAAAACAACACAAAAAAAAGACTAAAACAAACTTCAGTTTTGAAAAGTGTTACTAATTATTTTCACTCATTTTCTTGTACATGTATTTTGCATTTTGCTAGTTTTGCTTCTACTTTTTCTGTTTTGCTGATGTACTTTTGCTTCTGAAATCCCTCTTTTGAATCTGAAATCTTTCTTTTATTTGTGAATTTTGGCACATTTTCATGGGGGATGGGTTTCAGAAAAGTGTTTACTAGACAAATGAGTTGGAGTGACAGGTCTTCTGAAACATAGCCACACCCACTATATGTCTTGTGTACCGCTCCAACATGGCATTGTATTGATTGCAACGTTGAACTGGAGTATTACTTTAAAATGAATAATGAAACACATAGTTAGGGTTTTGTTTATCTTTGTGTAAAAAGATATTATTGTTATTCTATTATGTTGTTGAATGAAGCTGTAGTTTTACTAATAAGCCTAGCAGTGTCATCTATAGATAACTAGCCTATCACTATGATCTGGGGTTACTGGACTACCAGTGTGATCTAGAGCTAACTAGCCTTGCAAAGTGATCGAGGGCTAATTAGGCAAGCGGTGTGATATAGAGTTAAATAGCGAAACAAAACTATCTATAGAGAAGTAAGCTGAAGTATGATGCAGCACTAATTAGCACAAAAAGTGATCAAGTGCTAACTGGGCTACTAACGCTAGTTAGTATAGATATAAATATCTAACGTCAGTTCACTGTATTAATGTGAAGACGGTGATTTGGAGCTGCAGTGTTCTGTAAACTGGTAATGGAGCTAAAGCTCTTAAATATCTAACGTTAGTTCAGTGTATTAATGTGAAGACGGTGATTTGGAGCTGCAGTGTTCTGTAAACTGGTAATGGAGCTAAAGCGCTTAAATATCTAAGATTAGTTCAATGTATTAATGTGAAGACGGTGATTTGGAGCTGCAGTGATCTGTAAACTGGTAATGGAGCTAAAGCTCTTAAATATCTAACGTTAGTTCAGTATATTAATGTGAAGATGGTGATTTGGAGCTGCAGTGTTCTGTAAACTGGTAATGGAGCTAAAGCGCTTAAATATCTAACATTAGTTCACTGTATTAATGTGAAGACGGTGATTTGGAGCTGCAGTGATCTGTAAACTGGTAATGGAGCTAAAGCTCTTAAATATCTAACGTTAGTAGAGCTAAAGCTCTTAAATATCTTAGTTATTAGTGGAGCTAAAGCTCTTAAATATCTAACGTTAGTTCAGTGTATTAATGTGAAGATGGTGATTTGGAGCTGCAGTGTTCTGTAAACAGGTAATGGAGCTAAAGCGCTTAAATATCTAACATTAGTTCACTGTATTAATGTGAAGACGGTGATTTGGAGCTGCAGTGATCTGTAAACTGGTAATGGAGCTAAAGCTCTTAAATATCTAACGTTATTTCACTGTATTATTGTGAAGAAGGTGATTTGGAGCTGCAGTGTTCTGTAAACTGGTAATGGAGCTAAAGCACTTAAATATCTAACGTTAGTTCACTGTATTAATGTAAAGACAGTGACCCGTGTTCTGTAAACTGGTAATGGAGCTAAAGCGCTTAAATATCTAACGATAGTTCACTGTGTTAATGTGAAGACGGTGATTTGGAGCAGTGCTATTCTGTAAACTCGTAATGGAGCTAAAGTGCTTAAATATCTAACGTTAGTTCACTGTAGTAATGTGAAGACAGTGACCCATGTTCTGTAAACTGGTAATGGAGTTAAAGCTCTTAAATATCTAACGTTAGTTCACTGTGTTAATGTGAAGATGGTGATTTGGAGCAGTGCTATTCTGTAAACTGGTAATGGAGCTAAAGCTCTTAAATTTCTAACATTAGTTCAGTGTATTAATGTGAAGACGGTGATTTGGAGCTGCAGTGTTCTGTAAACTGGTAACGGAGCTAAAGCGCTTAAACATCTAATGTTAGTTCACTGTATTAATGTGAAGACGGTGATTTGGAGCTGCAGTGATCTGTAAACTGGTAACGGAGCTAAAGCGCTTAAACATCTAATGTTAGTTCACTGTATTAATGTGAAGACGGTGATTTGGAGCTGCAGTGTTCTGTAAACTGGTAATGAAGCTAAAGCTCCATACTATCTAACGTTAGTTCACTGGATTAATGTGAAGACGGTGATTTGGAGCTGCAGTGCTCTGTAAACTGGTAATGGAGCTAAAGCTCCATACTATCTAACGTTAGTTCACTGGATTAATGTGAAGACGGTCATTTGGAGCAGCAGTGTTCTGTAAACCGGTAACGGACCAACCATGACATTCAACTTTATTCCCTTTTCTAGTGATTAAACATGACTGCCTATCAGCATCTCACGGCAGCAGCAGCTCCGAACTGCAGCTCTCAGTACAAACAGTCTGTATTACCAGCCTTAATAATAATAATAATAATAATAATAACAATAATAATAATAATAATAATAATAATTGATCTTATGACTTTAGTTTTATCTGGACTGTAAGGTCTGAAGGGTGTTTTATACTGTAATGATCTGTTTTAGTCTTTATTTTAGTTTAGTTTTGATTTGATATGAAGTTTAATGAATGTATAAATGTGTGTGTTTGTTCTTCAGGGTGGATCATGGAGGGAAGATCAGGATCAAACCAGGACCACAGAAATGTAACACAAACACACACTATACACACACACACACACACACACACACACACACACACACACTATACACACACACAGTATATAAACACACAAACTGTTTTTTGTGCTCCTCTGATCTCTGCGTGTGTGTATCTGTGTGTGCATGTATCTGTGTGTGTGTGTGCGTGTGTTTGTGTGTGTGTGTGTGTGTGTGTGTGTACAGATGCTGTTGATCTCACTCTGGATCCAAACACAGTGAACAGTCGTCTCTCTCTGTCTGAGAGGAACAGAAAGGTGAAGTGGGTGAGAGATCAGTCATATCCAGATCATCCAGACAGATTTGATCATTGTTCTCAGATTCTGAGTGTGGAGAGTCTGACTGGACGCTGTTACTGGGAGGTTCAGTGGAGCGGATGGGTTGATATATCAGTATCATACAGAGGAATCAGGAGGAAAGGAGACAGTAATCACTGTGGGTTTGGACTCAATAAACACTCCTGGAGTCTGAACTGCTCTAATAACAGATACTGTATCAGACACAATAATCAGAGAACTGTCCTACCTGCCCCCCCCTCCCCCTCTAACAGAGTAGGAGTGTTTCTGGACTGGGGGTCCGGCACTCTGTCCTTCTACACCATCTCACCTAACACACACACACTGACCCACCTACATACATTCACCACCACATTCATTGAACCACTCTACACTGGATTTAGAGTTTACTATCCCTCCTCAGTGAGTCTGTGTGAGATAGAATAACATCTACAGAGAGAGAGAGAGACAGAGAGAGAGAGACAGACAGAGGGAAAGACAGAGAAACAGTGAGAGAGAGACACAGAGAGATATAGAGAGATATAGAGAGAGAGACAGACAGACAGAGAGAGAGAGGCAGAGAGCGAGATAGAGCAAGAGAGAAAGATAAAGAGAGTGAAACAGTGAGAGAAAGAGAGAGAGACAGACAGAGAGTGAGAGAGACAGACAGAAAAGAGAGATAGAGGTAGGGAGACAGACAGAGAGAGAGAGACAGACAGAGACAGACCGAGGTAGAGAGAGACACAGACAGACAGAAAAAGAGAGAAATAGAGAGAGATAGACAGAGAGATAGTGAGCAGGTTGGTGAAAAATGTCTTTGATGTTTATCTTTTTGATCTCACTTTGTAAATATGAGAGAAATCAAATCTTTCAGTGTTTAAATTATTTAGATTAAATAAAAAGAGTACAAAATAACCTGGTTGTGGGAACGTTTTATTGGAATGTTCCCTCAACGTTATTTTGTCCAGTTTTCTTAGTGTTCTCAAAATGTTCTTTATAAGTTATGAGAACGTTCCCAGAACATCACCTCAACCTTGTTTGCAACAACAGTTTAACATTTAAGGTTGTCTTAGAACGTTCTGACAACGTTCAGAATGTTCTCTGAACTTTCCCCTAATGTTCCATTTTGGTTGTATGAACGTTTTCATACCCAGCCATCACCATGTCTTGAGATGTCTTAAGACATGTCTAAAGACACATTATGAAGACGTCTTAGGACATCTTGAGGCATGTCTTAAGACATGAAGACATGTCTTTAAGACATGTCTATAGACACGGATCTTAAGATGTCTTGGCAATAATAACATCTCAAGACGTCTCAAGATGTAGGATGTATAATACGTATTTTTAAATTTTACCTACATTTTTTTAAATAAATCTTTTACTTTTAAATATTTTAAGGGAATTTTAAAATGTAACATTATTTATAGTTAAAATTATAGTAATTATTTTTTTTGTTCATTTTTTTGTTCTATGTAGGATGCATAATGGTATCATTTATTTTAATATATTGCATATCATTTTATAAACAAACATTACATACATTAGTACATACTACATTTATACATTTCAGAACAAATTTAACAACAAAAGTAATAATACTAATAATAGGCACATGGTTCCCAGTCTGTAGCTTTCTCTACAATAAGCCATTTTATATGAAACCACTAAATGATTTTGTTTACATCGCAATGACAGAATTATGCCAAGTTTAGAAAAATGTGGAATTCTCCTTTAAATGTTTCTGTTGCATTAGAAAAGTTTATGGAATCAGTGATATGATAAAAGTTTATTTGTGAGTTCATACCATGCCTTAAACATGGTGGTAGTATGAGGGAAAACTCTTATGCAACTATTTTGTAATACAGTGTTGCAGCAAAATTTAAAAATTTAATTCAGTGCTTTTAAATACCTTTTTATAGTAATTAACCCTTAATGTTTTAAAAATGTGGTAAAATGTGTTAAATACATTTTTTACAGACTATTTTACAGTTGCTTCATTTTTTTAATGAAGGTATCATTTTATCAACTTTTAAAATAATAATAATAAGGAGAACAAGAACAATAATAAGTATGCATAAATTACAGTAAAGTAATTTAAAGGGGTATGGAAAATCACTATTTTACATTTTTGTATTTCCTTGTTAATCTGTTAAAAATTCAGAATACTTCTACATTCAAATTATCTACTCTGCAATCCAAAGCATAGCCCATGAAAAAGCACCCACATAGCTTTCAAAAAATATAATTACAGTTATTGTTTATTGTTTTTACAACTGTGTATATGCACAGTACAATAGCGTCATCACACTTGATATGTTCTACAGAAAGAGAAAAACATGTTAACTGACTTTGTGTAGAAATTTGAAATATACTGCAATAAATACACAGTTCTGACCAATGAATCTGATGTGTAACATTAGCAGTGTTGGTCTTCTTTGTCAGAGATATGAGGAAAATGCATCTGTTAAAAAATCAATTTTAAGACAATAAATTTGAAATTACTTTTGGATCTGCGTACACAAGCAGGCTGAATTTAAAGGGGACCTGTTATGCTAATTTCCAATGTTCATAAATTTATTTTTGGGGTCGACTATAATACATTTACATGCTTCAGTGTTCCAGAAACACATTATTTTTCTCATACTGTAATTGTCTACTCACCCTCTGTCTGAAACGCTCTGTTAGAGCTCCAGTGTCTTTAAGCCCCTCCTTCCTGATGAGCCCAGTATGCTCAGATTAGTTAGCTCGCTCACTTGGCTCTGACTGATCAAGCACCAGAGCGGTTCCGCCAATACACGGGCTCCGGTAGATGCGTTGCGTTGTGTGAGGGCATGCCAAGCTCGCTGGTAGGTGGGCAATAAGGATTGTGTTATGGGATTACATCATCTTGTAACAAAGGAAAAGGGCTGGGGAACTCCAGCCCTCAGGCAGCTGAGAAAAGTGGTTCCTGTGGGAGAGAGTTTCTCCCTCTGGCATATACTTTCAGCTTTGTATCTTACACGCACAAAAAGATACATAACACAGTAAATAAAAGGGAAAGCATTATATATTCCCTTTATAAGTAGAATATAATGTACAGTATACATAATTTTACTCATCTAAAATCAACTCAGGCATTTAGTACACAAAGAAATGTGACAAGGCTTTAAATAATACCTATGCATGAACTCCAGCGTGGCACCCAGCTCACACGCATAGCTGATGTTCAGACAATGATGTTCAGTGTAATGAAAGAAGCATCAGGATGAGGCCACTTGGGTAAGAGCACAGTTGAGTGTTGAAAATGATATGGACTGCCACCATACTGGATGAGGCCCAAAGAGAGGATGTTCCTTGGGAAGGATTGAAAACAACAAAGTTGATTAGATAATTCACAATTCTATTGTTTTCATCCTCTAACATGCCAAAGTCAACACGTGACAGAAATGATCATTTGCTATTGAGGCAGGTGTGAGCTTAGTACTGATATCTGTATCTGTTAAAAGCTGTGTTAAAGGAGAATTACATGATTTTTAAGCACAATTTCATCATTAAGATGCAAAAAAATAGTTTGATACAAAATGTTCCATTGTGGAAAAACTTACAGAGTCAGAGTTGTTCACAGTGGCAGTGACAAGAACCAGACGTTTCAAGAGTTCAATGCCTCTAATCTCTCACAGAGAATTATTACATGAAATGATTATTAATAAGAGTTGAACTCTATTAGATCGTGTTTACCACATGCTGTATGCTATAAATTGTAGGGCTCTGAGACTTGCAGAATTACACATTAAAGCACAGTGAAGAAGTAAATTCATAAATATTGATACAGTGTTGGTGATATTGCCATATTGATATTTTGAACACAGCTGTAATGGCAAATAACATATTAATAAATTGAATGAATAAAGTGCAGATATTTAAATACTGTAACCCAGCTTTACCTAAACATTCTGCTCTTCTGTATTACCATAAATACTTCATGAATTATATTTGTTTGAAACACCCACCAAATCTAAACATCTGTCTGACATTCTTATAGTTTCATTTAAAAAATTAAAACTTGAGTCTCACCAGTTGCTCAGCTTCAGATGATTTCTGATGAGAAACATCTAAAACAAAACAGACACATGAGGTAAATGCAGCAAAATAATAACAGCAAAGCATAGCGATGAAAAACACAAAACAAACTGGTCATTATATATTACTAATAAATGTAGCCGAGTAAAACATCTAAAGCACAGATAATACATTTTAAAAATACTCTAGAAAGTACAAATCCACCAAGACGTTACTAGAGTAAATGTAACTGAGCAAATTAAAATTATTACTACCCTCTCTGAACCACACAGACTGACGGACTATGTTCAGTTTCATTGTTGTATTGTTCAGTGTGCTGACCCTGCTGCGCTGTGATTAGTGTGCTGACCCTGCTGCGCTGTGATCAGTGTGCTGACCCTGCTGCACTGTGTTCAGTCTTAGGTTTATTTCTGAGGCAGTCTTTCATTTGGAGCGCGTGCTAAGCGAGATCTGACGCAGCCGCGAGGCGTAAACAGACACGCCGCTTAGCCGCTAGCTAGCTAACTACATACGCTACCCTACCGCTGGTGTCTTCACTCGGCAGATCAACCCAGAAATACAGAAACAAAAGTTTACTCCAGCTGACTGTCAGTGAGGCTGCTCATCTCATTCGGTCACTACTCACCTTTTAAAAGCAGACTCTGACCGCTGCAGTCGGGACTCCAGTCGTAAAACCAGTCTCCACTCCACTCGGTCCAGTTATCGTTAGTCATCTACGCAGCTGAAAATCCTCGTTTGTGGAGCTGAAAGCGTCACCCGGCAGGCGGCGCTGTCTTAGTAAGGAGTGTAAGAGAGTCTTATCAGGTTTAACACTCGCTAAACAAACTCGATAAACTGCCCGCGGTAGCGCCCTGAGAGACCCGCTCACTGTAAACGGCTGTAACGGTCGCGTTTGGCTTTAAACGGAGGAACGGCGGAGAGCGCTCGCGCTTCAAAACCGAACGTCCAAGCGGCGGAGTCCCGCGCTCTGATTGGTCTAAACTCCCGCCAGTCTTTTGTTTGTCCTCCCATAGATCTTTTTTTTCTGGTTCGCACGGCTCTGCTGTACTGAATGAACTGAGCTGTTCTGTTTTTGTTTGTTTGTTGTTTTAATCTAGACACAGAATAGAAAACTGCAAACCCTTGAAACACATAAGACAGCAGTACAGCATTATCATACAGCATCACTGGAGGCCATGTCTTAAAATATTAAAGTCGAAGTATGAAGTTTGACATTTAAACAAAAATCTGTTTATTATGTAATTTTACGTGGTGAAACAATACAGGTCTTTATATTACTACTCAAATACATTTGTTTATTATTGTTCGTGTTTTCCAAATACTGGAGATAATAATTTTGAAAGTTATACAAATTAAAAGTCTAACTTTGGGCAGCCCTGATCTGCTTAAGAGAATAAACAGAAGTGTAGATGTTGAAGAGAGTGAACCAAGTGCTTTTTTGCATTAAGTTTTGGTTGTATGTGATCTCTAAAGTACTCAGGTTAGCTGTTAAGTACATTTACTTCCTATTAGCTCAAAGTTGTTTTATCTTGGTTCCTAGCTTGTTGTCTCTGGTTACAATTGTACATTTGAAAATAGATCAATGTTGTTTTAATCATAGCATGTTTTCTGCAAATGAGCAAAAGGCTGTGACTGACTGTGATTGTAACATTTACCAATGGAGATAAATTAAAAGTTATTCTACCATGAACTTCAATGATATAAGGAAGAGAGTTTAAACATTTTAAGGTAAGGTAAATGGTTTAAGAATTGATTTTTTCTTTTGCTATTTTGCCACTGTAAACACATTTCTGCAATAATCAAAAAACAAAACATACAAAAAAAAAAAAGATTCACAAAAGTACAGCAAGTAAAACCTCAGTGAATGTTCTTTTAGTAATATCACACAAAAACCATAAGATTACAGCAGGCTGTTTCTTGAGGACATACTTATATTCTCTCTTATATTGTTATATTCTCATTATATTGTACATTAGGCAGTGCTGTGGTAATCCTCAGTAGTAATTTTCAGTTTGGCAGTATCACAGGAATACCACACTCATACCACAGGACCTTTTGTAATGGACCACTCTTTGGTCTCAACTGAACTGTCTTAAGACACAACATCTCTATGTCTTAAGACAAAGTGATGTCTTAAGTCATGCCTCGTCTTCAAGACACACAAAATAATTACTTCTTTGTCTTAAGACGTTAACTTTCATGTCTCAAGACAAAGACAGTGTCTTCACTCATACGTCTTAAGATGTTCTTGAGACGTCTTGGCATAAAAGAATGTCTCAAGACATCTTATAAATACTGTCAAGACATCTTAAGACATCTTAAGACACAGTGCCAGCTGAGTATGTTATTGGAATGTTCCCCCATGAATCTTTCCAGTTTTCCCAAAACATTCAAGTTACTAGATTGTTCCCTAAACATCAACCCAACCCCATCAGCAACATTCTAGGAATGTGGTCTTGCAATGTTCTGAGAACGTGACAACATCCCTATAATGTTCTATTAGGGTTGTGAGATTGTTGCTAAATTTAAAAAGGCCATTTTTATGTTTCCATAACATCTTTCTTAAAACCACTGCCCCAGATTATTACCTCAGCTTTATATACACTGACCACTGAACATTCCTGGAATGTTATCTTTAAACGTTCTTCAAACGTTTACAGTTCCAGTTTTCTTAACTTTTCTAGGACGTTCAGTGCAAGTTAGTAGAACATGCCCTAAAACATTTTCCCAATATTTCTGTGCAGCCAGCAGTGCTCAGCGTCAAAAGTTCAGATTTTTCAATGTTACTTTAACATTTCATTGACATTTCCTCAGTCTAGTTAATGTTAATCCCTCCCAGTCTTGACTTCCTTCCCTCCATCCACATTCCCACTCACTGCTGATAGTCTCATTCAAACAATCCCCACCGCTATGATAATACTGACATAAACTGAGGCAAAATCAATGAAAGCATAATGGATTTAATAAATGTTTATTATTATTACTAATATTATTAATCAATTCAAGTGACTGAACAAAAAATGAAAAAAGTGGTGAAGTCCATTAGGGCGTCTCTGTATTCTCCACCTGCAAAGTAAACAAATCGGTTTATTTTTTCACAATTATCAGTTCATGTAAAGCATTGTTACACTCTGTTCAAGCCATTCTGGGCAGCTAAACACAAAGCTTTCTTAAAGGTACGTTGCAGTCTTTGATTTATAAGTCAAATGTGCAGGAGGTGCCTGTGGCTCTTTTTTCATGGCTGACTTCCTCACATGTGATTGGAGGCACTGCACAGCAGATATTTAAATAATGTTGATCAGTACTGAGGGCCTTCTTAGCTTCAAGGTCTTTGATTGGCATGTATAGTGGCCTTAAAGTTGAGTATGAAATATGAGGATTGTGGAACAGTACGGAGCCCCTTAGGGGGAATGTTTAAAAATAAATAAATAAAAAACAGTACTGACATTTCGTTCCCCTGCAAATGTTTTGCGTTATTTTGTAAAAAAATTCCGAGCCTGGTCGCTCTCTACACTTGGATTTCATGTGCAGGACTCCAGCAGAACTGTACTGCAGTGACGTGGAAGTGTCTTCCTCCTTCTTTCAGTACGCGACTCTCTTTCAACACAGATTTTGAAGATTATTAGTCTTAAGTGTAATTAAACACTGCTTCAAACACAGCTACAATCCGCCTGTTGACAGTGTTCAGAGTTTGGTTTTCATGTTTTTTCCACAGTGAAAATCATGAAATATCACTGTTTCATGAGGTGAATGGCAGCATTTAATATGCCATAAAAATTAAACAGCCAACTCAAACACAACTCCAACAAAGGAAGGAAATTAACCTGTTATCAGAAACCTCCACTGCAGTGTTTAAAAACACTTTCTGACACACACGGGTTATAAACTACATTTTATTTTGCTATTTAAATTTTGAACAAGACGTCTGCAGTGCCTGGGAAAGTAAAATACATATATGCCCATGTTAAAAATTCTATAAACGGAAGGAATCAAACTGTTAGCAAAAGACTACCCTGCATTGTTGAAGACCTCGGGTACAAAGAGACTGAGATTCATGTAATCTCACAGTCTGAATGTGGTCCTGCAGTGGAGTTCCCTGTTAAAAGCTTGATTTGAATATTTAATGAAAACCTAAATACACTATGTAATAAAACCTGATTTATTCTGCCATTTGGGAAAATGTTATTCGAAACTGAAACAGTAAAACTAAACAAACTTATTCCATGTGTATCTGGAGAGGTGTTTTTCAACACTGCAGTGGAGTCCCTGATAACATCTTGATTTCAATGTTTTATAGAATTTTAAAAGCTGCCTTATTTTTAATGAAACTAGACTTTTTAAGAATTTTAAGCAAAGATTATTCAAAATGACCTAAATTCTTTGTAACACCCAGGGGTTTAATGTAACTACAGTCTGTAGTAGGGCTTCATCGATACCAATTACTTGTACTCTTACTCGTACAAATTTACAGATACCAGCTGATACCCTGTGACATAAGTATATGCTGCCATGCTAATGAAGAAATGACTCAGGCTGGCAGTGCAGAGAGTCTGATTACACAGTGAAATGTTATAGGCTACGTTCACTCAGCAGATTAAAGTAGCCCACATCCGTTCTTTTCCATCGTATATGACACAGATGTGTTATCTGTGTGGCAGTGTAAATGGTAAAAAAACAAAAAACATATTGAATCTGACACTGAAATCCGATGTGTATCCGAACTGTGCTAATGCGACTCCATCTGAACAACCAGATCAGAATTCATGCGATGCAAACATCAATCCAACTCCACTCTGAATGAGCTGTAGTGTTCTGTGATAGTCATAGTATGAGCTGTAAAACTGTGAGTCTTGTTTATCTTTCAGAGCTGGTTAAAAGCAGAAACCAGACTGATACGTTCCACTTTCACTGTCTTTCTAAAATAGCAACCTCTCAGATTTAAACCAGTTATAAAAGAAGAAAGCAGCACGATGAACTGGAGAAAGAGGTTAAGTGAGTGGCTGTTGCAGTTGACTCTGGATGAGCGTCATGTAAAGCGAGGCATTTTTTTTTTAAGGCATGCGCATCAGTTTAGGAGCTGAACTGTTCAGAGGAATGTCAGATATAGATCACATTAAAAAGATGATGTGCACAACCTAAAAAAAAAAAAATCGGATGTGAAAATCGGATTTGGGCCACTTTTACCTGCTGTGTGAACACGGCCTTAGTGTGTGTCACGCTAGCAAAAGTGGATCAGACACAACAGAGCTGCTGCAGCTTTTACACCTCAGAGTCACTGCTGGACTGAGAATAGTCCACCAACCAAAAACATCCAGCCAACAGCATCCTGTGGGCAGCGTCCTGTGACCACTGATGAAGGACTAGAGGATGACCAACACAAACTGTGCAGCAGCAGATGAGCTATCGTCTCTGACTTTACATCTACAAGGTGGACTGACAAGGTAGGAGTGTCTAATAGAGTGGACAGTGAGTGGACACAGTGTTTAAAATTCCAGCAGCACTGCTGTGTCTGATCCACTCGTACCAGCACAACACACACTAACCCACCACCACCACATCAGTGTTACTGCAGTGCTGAGAATGATCCACCACCCAAATAATACCTGCTCTGTGGTGGTCCTGAACATTGATGAACAAGGTAAAGGTGGGATAAATTATACAGAGATACAGATGGACAGTCTGTAACTGTAGAACA